GGGCTGGGGATTCGAACCTGCCACCTTAGGTGTGTGTGGCTGGCGCCTTAGCCACTTGAGCCACAGGTGCTGAGTCTGCTCATTGTTTTCCAGTTTGGCGGGCCCACTGGGGATTCGAATCCGCCACCTTAGGTGTATGTGGCTGGCGCCTTAGCCGCTTGAGCCACAGGCGCCGAGCCAGAATTTATTGCTTTTATAACTGAAACTGTGTACCTTTACGACCCACTTCTCCCCAGGCCCACCTCTACCCACTCCTCGGTGACTGGCAACTGCTGTTCTCCCTTCTGCTTCTGTAAATGTGACTTTTTTAGGTCCCACATACAAGTGAGGTCACACAGCATTTGTCTGTCTGGCTAATTTCACTTAGCATAACACCCTCCAGTGTCATTCATGCTGTTGGGAATGGCATAGTTTTCTCCTTTTTTATGACTAAATTTTATTCCCTTGTGTATGTATAAATGGCATTTTCTTTATTCATCCATCAATGGACTTTTAAGTTGTTTTCATACATAGTATCTTGGCTGTTGTGAATAAAGTTGTGATGAACATGGGAGTGCACCTGTCTTCTCAACATACTGATTTGATTTCCTTTGGTACATGCCCAGAAGTAGGATTGCTAAATCATATAGTAATTCTATTTGTAGTTTTTTGAGGAACCTCCATACTATTTTCCACAATGACTACCAATTTACATCCCACCAACAGTGTACAAGAGTTACCTTTTCTCCACATCCTCACCAACACTTATCTCTTACCTTTTTGGTAATCGCTATCTTAAAAGACATGAAGTGGTATCTCATTGTAGTTTTGATTTGCATGTCCTTGATAATTAGGGGGTTTTTTTAGCACTTTTTCTTGTACATTTTTCCTATTTGTATGCTTTCTTTAGAAAAATGTCTATTTAGGACTTTTGCTTATTTTTGAGTTATTTGGTTTTTTACCATTAAGTTGTGTGAGTTCCTTATATACATGGGCTATTAACCCCTTATTGGCTATGTGGCTTCTGAATATTTTTTTTCATTCTATGGGATGTATTTTCATTTTGTTGATTACCTCCTTTGCTGTGCAGAAGCCTTTTAGTTTGATGTGGTTCTAC